AAAATGAAATTGTGTGTGTTGGCCCTTTAAGAGGCTCTCTGCATCTCCAGCAGTCTCTCCCTGGCAGACAGAAACCCTGCTGCTTTTCACAGTTGAATGCTATCTGAGTTTCTTTCTGGTTCTGGCGTTGTAGATTGGGAAGCCCATCTTGGGGTTTAGACTCCACACTTCTAAGGGGCAACCCCCGTTCACTGAAATATCCCTCCGGAACTTTAGCTGCCACTTGTGGGAGCCCAGCCAGGCCTCTTACAACTCTTCCTCACTTCCTACCAGTGTCATTGTGGTGAAGTGGTGTTTTCTCTCTGTCCTTGGTTATAAGATTTCTCTCCAGCTAGTGTTCAGTAGGTTATTCAGGATGATTTCTCTACACTTTAGTTGTAATTCCAGACTGGTTCTGGGAGGAAGTTAATGTAGCTTCCACTTACTCCTCTGCCATCTTGGGGGGGTCAAGACTATTCTTTCTTGATACTGTAGCTTTATAGGATGTTTTATAGTTGAATAGTGTCTAAATTAGCTTTTTTCCACAAATATTTTGGGGATTCTTTTTTAATTTTTTATATATATTTTAGAATGAGCTTTTGATAGTTATAATAATTTCAGTGTGGATTTTGTTTGGGATTTTATGGAAACTATATAGATTGTTATGGCAAAAAATTGTTGTTATTTGAACTGTACTAAATTATTCAACTCATAAGCTTTGTATGTCTCTCCATTTATTTAGGTCTTTTTGATACATTTTGTCAACATTTTGTACTTTTTAGTTTATAGATTCTGGTCATATTAGTTAGATTTATACCTAAGTATTTAACATTTTTAGCTATTATAAATGGATTTAAAATTTGGGGGTTTCAAATTTTCATAGCTAATCAATAGAAATACTGTTGACTTTAATAAACTGATATGTATTCATTGATTTTATTAAAGTCATTATTTTTAGGGTTTTTTGTTTGTTTTTTTTTTATAGATTCCATGATATGTCCTATGTAGACAATAATGTTTGTGAATAGAGATAGTTTTAGTGTTTTCTTTCTTATCTAAATGTCTTTTTTCCCTTGCCTTCTTGAAATGGCTAGAAATTCAGTATGATATTAAATAAGATAATGTGCTCATTATCTTAATGTAAAAGAATTTACTATCTTAACATTAAGAATGATGCAGCCTATAGGAGTTTCTATAGGTGATGTTTATCAAATGGGGAAGTTGAATTCTGTTACTAATTTGCTGACTTTTAAAAAAATATGTTAATTCAACGTAAAATTTTTCAAATGCTTTTTATGGGTCTATTGATATGATTGTGTGACTTTTATTTTTAAGCCTGTTAACCTGGTGAATTATATTAATTCATTTTTAACTGTTGAGTCAGTCTTTGGTTGCTGGGATATACCTCACTTGGTTGCAATTCATTATTATTTTTTTTAAGATTTTATTTATTTATTTTTAGAGAGGGAAGGGAGGGAGAAAGAGAGAGAGAGAAACATCAATGTGCGGTTGCTGGGGATCATGGTCTGCAACCCAGGCATGTACCCTGACTAGGAATCGAACCTGCGACACTTTGGTTTGCAGCCCATGCTCAATCCACTGAGCTATGCCAGCCAGGGCTTATTATTTTTGTATATTGATTTTTTTAGAGAAAACATGGCAGTTTTTCTTGTTCTGAAGTCAGCTTTGTATGGTAATTATATAGCAATTCTTTTATGGATAATCCACATTTTATGGATAATGTTCAATCATCTACTAATATCTTTTTCCATTCATTCATTTTTAATGTATCTGGATAATTATGCTTCCTGTGAATTTTCTGTAGATAGGAAATAGTTGGGTCTTGTTTTTATTTTCATCCAACTTAACAATTTCTGTCTTTTAACTGGTGTTTTTAGATCATTTACATTTAAATTAATTATTGATATACTTACATTTGTTGACTAGTTTATTTGGTTTGTTTCTTTTCTCTTTTTTATTCTTCCTAATATTATCTTTTCTTTTAAGGCATTTGGTTCTTTTTGTAACTTCTATTTTTTTTCTGAGAAATTCTGTTTCCACTTATTGTAAAAATGTTTGCCTATACTTTCTGGGCCATTTATTACTCTTACCTTGAACGTGCAAAAATGTGCTCTGGGTAAAAGACAGATTTCTTAATAATAATTGTGTCATCACCCTCTTACCCCAGATCTTATTCCTAGGTGACCCATGAGAGCCTATGGGAAATTTCCCTACATCAGTAGCCAGCCCCTCCATAGATGAGAAACAAGGGAAATGATTTTTCTCTGTTAATAAAGAGGAAGGAGGCAGCTATCTTTCACCCCTAATGAACGAGTCTCCTTGGAAACCTGATTGCCTAAATCCAAACTTCAGCTCTTTAATATGTAAATAAAATCTCTCCAGGAGACAGATAACCCCACCTGTTCAAATTTTACAACCTAGAAATGTTTCCAACTTCTGAGGCTTTATATTTTTGACTTGTGATACCCAGGAAAGTGGTAAGTCAGCCTCCCTGACACATTGGGAGTTTAACCTGAAGATCTACTCTAGGCTGTAATCATTTGGCCCTCTCAGGGAAACTAGAAAAGTTTTATTATCTTGTTAGAGCAGAGCAAGTAACTAGACAAATAACTATATCTCTAATTCTCATGGTATTTGAAAATTCTGAGGAAGCTAGGACTTTTTATAGGAGAAAATCAAGAATGTTTAATTCCCCATAGTTGGAATAGCAGCATTAAAATATTTGTCCAGTGATTCTAATATTTGGGTCATATTGGGTTTCCTTCTGTTGATTGATTGTCTTTTTTCTGAATTAGTATTTAATTTTTCCTTACTTTTTAAATGTCCAGTAATTTTATGTTTTATCCTGGATATTTTGAATATCACATCATGAGATTCTGGATTCTGTTTAAACCACCTGAATTTGTGTTCTTACAATTTTTTATTTTAGCGTGTGGTCAACTTAGTTAAGATCAGACCACATCTCCTTACCCTCTTTCTGTGGACTTGTTTCAATGTCAGTTTAGTTTTCAAAGCCTTTCCAGGACTACTCTGGTTCATCTCACAAATGTCTCTCCCAAAGATCAACCTGAAACTCAGTTAAGTGTTCAGAGCCTTCTCTGTGCTGATTCTGTTACTGAACAAAAGAGGCTCATTTGCCTGAGCACTTCAAAACCAAATCAAGTGTGAATACAAATTTGCAGCTAAGAAAGTCAAGGTTTATTTTAAGGAAATGCTGCCACACGCAGAGTCCCAGGTAAGCCCTTGCTAAAAGACCTGGCTCCCTGATGGCTTCCGTGAGATGGGTTATATGTAGGGGAAAACCATTAATAATAGTGACTAAGGGAGTTAGGCTCATGATCAGGGCCATGGTCTCTGCTATTTGGTTGGTGCTAGGGCAGGGGTAGTTGATCATTACGCATCTGGTCCTGCTATCAGTCTTGGTGTCACCTCATCTAATTTTGGAAGGATCTGGTCAGTGGGGTCATCCCACTTTTCTGGGTTTGGAGCTGAAGCACATGTGAGGCCTAGATATTATCTTCTTTTTAATTTAAATGTTATCTTATTTTTTTTTACATTTTTAATTTTATTGTATTTTCCCATTACCGTTAGTCTCCTTATACCTCCTCTTCTCCTACAATCCCCACACTGTTGTTCATGTCATGAGTCCTTTTCCTTTTTACTCAATCCTTTTACCCATAACATCCCCCCCACCCCACTTAACAGTCAACCTGCTCCCTGTCTATGAGGCTGTCCCGATTTTCCTTGTTGGTTCAGTTCATTAGATTCTACGTATGAGTGAAATCATACAGTATTTGTCTTTCTCTAGCTGGCTTATTTCACTTAGCATAGTGTTCTCCAGGTCCCTCAAGACTATTGCAAAGGGTAACATTTCTTTTTTTATGGCCAAGTAGTATTTCATTATGTAAATGTCTCATAATTGTTTTATCCATTAATCTACTGATGAACATGTGGGCTGCTTGCACTAAAAAGTTTTTGCACAGCAAAGGAAAACATCAACAAAATAAGAAGACAACTCACTGAATGGGAGAACATATTCACCCATACATCTGATAAGGGGTAAATATCCAAAATTTATAAAGAACTTACAGAACTCAACACCAAAACAAAAACAAAAACAAAAACAAAAACAAAAATGAACAACCCAATTAAAAAATGGGCAAAGGGCCTGAATAGACACTTCTCCAAAGAGGACATACAGATGGCCAATAGACATATGAAAAGATGCTCAAAGTCACTAATCATCAGAGAAATGCAAATTAAAACCACAATTAGATACCAGCTCACAAATGTCAGAATGACTATCATCAATAAGTTGACAAACAATTAATGCTGGTGAGGATGTGGAGAAAGGGGAACCCTCTTGAACTGTTGGTGGAAATGCAGATTGGTGCAGCCACTGTGGAAAGAAATGGAACTGTCTTCTGTCCCAGCAATCTCACTTTTGGAAATATATCTGAAGGAACTCAAAACACTCATTCAAAAGAACACAAGCACCCCTGTGTTCACTGCAGAGTTATTTATTTAGATGTTATCTTTAGTTTGATCGAAACTCTGTTTCTGTGGTAAATAGACCTGAGGCTTTGTTCCTAAGATTGTTTAATGCTGATCAGGGCCTTATTGTCCAAGGGCATAATGATTAAAGTAGTGGTAGACCAAGGGAGAGTGCAAGTAAGTCAGCATGTTGGATGAGACCAGTTTGAGTCAAAAGGAAAGGAGAAAAGGTCATATTAAAGAAATGAAGTTTCTGTGTGTTTATAGTTCTGGTTGGATGCATGCTTACACAAATCCAGGTTAGGGGCAGGACTTCATACATAGGTATGAAGTACCCCTTTCTCTAGCTCCTGCCTCACAACCTGTTCCTTAGTTTTTGATCCCCAAGGCTCCCCTTTCTGATCCTTTGGAAAGACAGCTAGGGCTTTAGTGCTCAGTCCTACAAGGTCTACCTGTACAGTGTATCTGGGGAGAGAAAGGAACTCTGTCTCCTTGCTAGCACTCACCTGATATAGGGTAAATCGAGCCCACAGGGATCCACTCTCAGGGCATGGCCAGCTGCTGGTGGGGAGGGTAAGTGGCACTGCACCGGCTCTCTCGCTGCAGGGTGTGGGGAGTCAACAAGGTTGCTGTGGTCCTGTAGGGAGGAAGTGGAGCACTGCTTCTTTACTGGTGTTTATCTGGAGTAGGAAGGACAAAAACAAAATAACTCTGTGACCCAGTTCCTTTTCTTCTTTTTCCTGGAACTCTGGCTAGACAGCGTATACCTTTCTTGGGGCTTTTCTGTCTGTATTCATTGGCAGTTCCACATTTTGGGTTACTCTAGCACCTGGGCCAGAATATTTTGGAGGCAAAACCAACCAACAAACAAACCATAACAACAACAAAAATTTAAAAATCTCCAAACCAACTGACCAACCAAAAACCCAACCAACCAACAAACAAAACAGAAGACTCACTATCATATTGTCCTTATGTTCTGAAGTTCTGACAGAATCCTCTGGTCTGTAATTTAGCCCAGAGTTTTTCACTGCAAATAGTGGAAGTGAAATGGTGGAATGTATTTATTCCATCTTTTTCAGAAACAAGCCCAGGATGGTTTAAACAGAGTGGGGCAGAATGCATTTTAAATGAAAGCAAATATTTAAAATAGTATGATTAAAAGTGTAGTGGGATCACAATATGCAGAATCCAAGTTTACTTCCTCTTTTTTTTCATTTTTGTATTGTTGTTCAAGTACAGTTGTCTCCATTTTCACCCCACCATGCCCCCAAAAGATGCTCACCTTAGTTAAAGGATGCACTTATCTTCAGCCTAAATTTAGCAGCTTAACTCTTATTGTCATGTGGCTTTTTTAAAAGTGACACTGAGATGTTATTTGAGTAAAAGGGAAGGAGTTTATAAAATGTTTTGAAATACATGACCTTTATGTGCAATCACATTATCTTGTTTTTAACTGACTCTGGAGCTTGTGATAAGCTGAAATTGAAATTTATGCTTCATGTATTGTAGTGTGTTGGGAAAAGGTGGTTCTGGTTGCATGGACTTTTAATTTTTGCTTGCAGGAGAGTGCTTCTAATATTCACTTCCATTTCTGACAGACTCAGCTAATCAAAATATGGAGGTTACATATGCACAGACCTTAATATCAGTCAAAATTCTTTGTTCTTCTACTTTTAGAATGAAAGGAAAAATATCAACCTATTTAAATATATACTGTACTTTAATATATTTCTGCTGACATTCTTATCACAATTTGTATCAGCAAAGTGAGGCAGGCAAAAGGTAGGCAGTTAAATGGCAAAATTGAAGAACCATGCTAGAATCAATGACATTTAATAGGAATTTTGTCACTAAGTGTTGGAGTACTTATAAGGCATAACAGGACACCTCTCAGCCTTCAGACTTTTTATTGCTATCCTATTACAGTTCTCCCGATTTTTCTCTCTTTTCTCTTCTCTGCCCAGTCCACACCCCGCTCCCACGGTCAGTCCCCATACCGTTGTCCATGTACATGTTCTTCATGAAGAACACGCACACGTTCTTCAACTAGTCTTTCCCCTTCTGTCCACCATTATCCCCCTCCTTCTCTCCTCTATGAATTAAGTGATTAACTATTTATTGTATATTTATGTCTTATAAGAAAATAGTAATTAATATCAGGTTTGTCTTTTCTATATGGGAATCTACTAGATATAGTTGGGAACTAACATTCTTTATTGGCTTCCTCTCAGTTCTTAGCACAATTGCTTAACAAAGTGATAATTAATATTCATGGGAAATGTTTATATTGATGCCATAACCAGCTTTTATCAAAGTGCCCAAATCCTACTTGATATTTCAATGCTTTTCCAGGATTCTTAGTAGTGAATGCTAGATTTCATTTTGACTTTTTAAAGATAAAACTTGCATGTCTTAATCTGTTGGAAGTCTCATTTGTATAAATTAAAAGTAGACAGAATGTTACTTTATACATAGTGAAGATATCTATGTCTTTCTAGTTTCTCAAAGTAAAATTTGACAAATATATTACCTTTTATAAGACTTAATCAAACAGAAATTCTATTAAAATTACTACATCAAAAACATTTCAAGAAACCCTGTGTAATTCTCTGTACTCATCATGAGGAAATAGAGTCCTAGAACAGCTTTTACAAATTTTAGAGGACATTATCCTTGTAGATAAAAACACACAAGAGGAGGAGCTTCTGTAACTGTTAAATCATGTCTGTTTGAACAGTTGATTAATCTTTAAAAGCCTAGCATCTCGCTAGACATTTGGGATGCTTTGATAGAAGTTACAGTAAGTTGGATAGAAAATCTGCTAGTTCAGGTGTTTGGAGTCAAAACTACTGGGTGTCAGCATGGCCCTTCATGCTTGGTTCTCTTTCACCCTTCTGGGCTGACCTTTTTGCTCAAAGACTTGTCTCCAGGGAGAAAATTGGGCTTCCTGTTTCATTCTTTCTCTGGTAGTTAAGTTTCAGGTTGTTAAGTAGTCCTTGCAGTATCTTTAGAAACTTGGAAATCTGGTGTTAAAATATTGCACTTAAGGTAATATGCACACATAATTTGCCCTTTGAAGGTTGTTGTGACCAATGTGTCCTTGTTTGTTTTCCCAGGTATCTGTTTTGTTCACTATTTTAGGAATGATTTCTTCAAAGTTGAATATATTTCCATAAAGTGCATATTCAACAAAGATGCCATGCAATTTCAATTCTACCCACCACTAACGAATGCTTGCATTTAAATACTTGTAAAATATTGAATATTTTCTTTAGTACATCAATACAACTATTGATGAAGATGTGGAATTGGGCCATTTTCTAGATGACTCCAATGTCAGGGAATGAAAAAGCACCCCTCTTCTTCAGCTCCTTACATCTTATGAGGCTGTATGATTTAAATTATGTTTTTAATGAAAATACTTAAAAACAGAATTGAGAAGCTTAAGTAATATAGCTCACTAAAGGCACAACCTTTTAAATTCATTAAAATATACACAAAAGTGGCAGTACACCAGTAACAATGAATGACAGACATTTATCAGACCTATTAACAAAGCCTTTATATACTCACTTTTGGTGAGACAATTACCATTTAAGTTGTATCTTTTGGGGGGTGCTGTATCTACCCATTACTCAAAGATGCTTCATAGAATTTATACAGAAGGAATGTATGAACGTGGCTTTTGATTGTTTACCCCCCAGGACATTTGGCTGGCTTCCATCCCTCTTGCCAACACGTATTTTGATGCTTTCGTTTTTAATGATTCAGGTGTTGAAATCAGTATTTGCATGCTAGTATTATTGCTGGGGCCAACAGAGAAAGCTGCCTCCTTTCCTTTATGGTATCGTTTTAACACTGATAGATGAATATAACATTTTATCCACTATAATAACGAACCTCATTTACATACAATTATGGAAAGGGATAATTTCTCACGTATTTTTAAGAATTTAGGCACAGTTGGTGAAAGTGGGACTTTGATATTATAGAGAACAATGTCAGATATTATTTCTGGCTTTAAAATGCTCCCTGCCCTTAGAAAAAACCAGTCGACATTTTTCCATTCACTTCTAAAAATGCTAAGAGTGAGGATGAAAACACGGTGAACTGAAAGCAGCAAAATGAAAGAACAGCAAACTAAAATTTTGACATTTAATTTAGTTTAAATTACAATCACATTGTTCAGATGACAAAACATCTGGATTACTGATTTTTTTACAGTGTTTTGAACTGATATCTTGGCATTTCAAAAACCCAGGCGTATGACACCAGTGAACACTTGAATGAATGTTTTTTTGACAATTATAACTCTGGTTAGCCAGGTAAAAGTTTTTCTCATTAAAATGTGAATAGTAAATCACAATGATAGGATTGAGCCTACCCCATCTATATCCCATCTGCTATAGACAAAGTATGTATTCTCTCCATGAAATGGTGACTGACTATATTAACTACCAAAACAAATCTTTGGCCATAAAATTTGTTTCTATTTTCAATGCATGGACCTAAAGTGTAAATAAAACCCTAAGAGATTGGAAAGCTGTTGGAAGCATTTTGAGCCCTCAGCTTGACATAGTGGGAGAATGTAGCAGTGCATGGTTGAGATAGCATGCATCTTGCAGAAGCTTTTTAGTCACCCCAACTAATGGAAAGAGGGCATGAAAGTCTTTTTTTAAAAGATTTTATTTATTTTTAGTGAGATGAGAAGGGAAGGATGAAGAGAAGGAGAGAAATATCAATGTGTGAGAGAAACATGGATCAGTTGCTTCTCGGGTACCCCCATTTGGGAAAAAGGCCCGCAACCCAGGTGTGTGCCCCGAGCAGGAATCAAACTGATGACCTTTTGGTTTGTAGAACAATGCCCAAACTTTGGTTTGTGTGGTTGGCATGGCTGGTGAGCCACACCAACAAGGGCTGGACATCTTCATGTTAGCAGTGAAGCGAATAAAACATATAGTAAAAACTTATTTATTTAACACATGCTACCCTCAGCCCCGTGGAAGTAAAAAGCTATATGGATGAGAACCCTGACAACTCAATACTTCCAAGTGGGTGCTAACAATAGGATACAGGAGAATGTTGATTTGTATGTTTAATTAGGGCCATGTGAGGCACACGGGGTTTGTTCCAAACATTCTAGCAGTTCATTGAGTTTTCCAGGACTTCAGAGGAGGGAAAGTTCATTTTCAACTTGCATTAATCAAAAGAAAAAAGTATCTTCATGCAAAGTTTGGAACTAGAAAGTGAAATGTCCCAGACTTGTTTATTTTTCTCCTACCTGTCTGGCTGTGCCTTTTTAGTCTAGCTGATCAGCTCTTTCTTCGTGGAGCCATTAGCTGTTGGAATTCCTTTAGGCTCTCTGGCTTTCCTTCACTACTTTCTCCCTAATCTCATCCATGCCCACAGCTTTCATTAGCCTGTATACATTAATGGCATTCAAATACACATCTCTAGATTGAGACTCTCCCCAGTTCTAACTGCTTTGACTTGGATGTTTCAAAGGTACTTCAATAAAACATCTCTAAGATGTATTATGTGATCTTTCTTCTCAAGCCTAGCCCTCACTAGCATTTTCTTACTTAGAAAATGACGCCACTGTCCAACTCCTGCTCAACCAAACACACAGAATCA